ATTTAATTTTCAACTCCAAATATTGCAATTTGGATTGTTTATCAGCTCATATTCTGAGTCACCTTATTTGGAAATACATTGAGCCTAGTGTTGCAAAGCTGAAAATTTGTCAAATATCCAAACTTTTAGGATTTAATTAAATTTAACACAACAATTATTTCATTTGCATTTGTTGGATGTGAGATTGGTCATAGCCAACTCACTGCTACATGCCTCATTGGCTATTTACCTTCTCATATTCAATGCACAGTCATGTAATAATTGTACCCAATTGACTGGTTAGATTGAAAATATATATTTATTCTTTTTTTGCTAGCCTTTTAGTGTTTGGCACTAATTTGTAGTACTTTGTTGCTTTGGTTGCAGTGAAGAGGCAGATGAACTAGCCAAAAGATTAAGGTTAAAATTTTATCGAGCTTCTGTGAAAGAGGATCTAAATGTTAATGATGGTAAGCGGAAAGTACAGTAAACTAGTTGAATTTACATTTTTGTTTTCCACTTTTGTGTATTACAATGATCATTGTATTGTAACTGGTTCAAAACCAAGAGAAAGCACCATGATGGTCTTATGTGATCATGATGGTGTTACATGTTTACCATTAATCTGAACTTGTGAAATAGAGAATCTAAAATTAAGGTAAACTGTGTTGCATTACAGAATACCTTCATTGTGCTTAACCCTGTAATCTCAAGATCCAACTAGTTGTTCTCCTGAGTGACTGGTATACACTTCCTTACAAATCAGACAAGAGAATTTGGTGTTACATGTACCATATTTACCCGTGTATAATATGCCCTTTTTACCTATAAAAATAACCATCAAAATCGCGTTGCGTATTATACATGGTTTCTATTGTTTTTTTCAAGCACGTCCTAATTTGCATAAATTAAAAACACAAGAAAGAAAGAAAGTAACAAAAGCCTAGTATTAATTGGTCTTTATTAGCTTGAGTTAAATAATCTACTGATGAAACATTTTCAATTTCGATCCACAAACACAACAAAGAAAGTAATGAAAGCCTCATGGTAATTAGTCTTTATTAGCTTGAGTTAAATAATCTACCAATGAAACATTTTCAATTTCGATCCATGAATAAATTTAGTAGAGTATTTAAGAAAAAGCTGACGAGATAAACATTACGACCGTACCTTATTACTGTAATCACAAGCAATAAAAAATTCAAAATGCTTACGAAACTTCCACTGCGAAACGTCAGTTGTAGGAAGAAATAACCTTTTTCCTTGCTGTGAAAACTTTTTTTATGGAAAATTTGGTCAAAAATCAGGGTGCGTATTGTACATGGGCGCGTATCATACACGGGTAAATAGGGTATGTCGAGATAAAACCTGTTAGCTGATAACCATGTCAGTTCTCTTAACCTGTTTACAGTGTTAATCACCCATGGGAGTTAAATAGTCAAACAACATTTTGATGTGGCCAGTTTTAATAAATTACCCCATGCAGTAGTTCAGTGTTTGCACCTGCATGCATTTGAGAGACCCATGGTTAATTTATTTTCACAAAACATTAACAAATTATTGTATATTTTGTCACAAATGAATTTGATAGAAACATAAATCTCATGTACAATTTTTCCTTGTGTAATGGATTGATTTTGTTCTCTTCCAGTATTCATGTATCTCACTGAAAAGTATCTAGAAATACTGCAGAATGTTGATGTAGAGGAACCCAAACCATCACAACACAAAAATGGTAAAGTTTCACCACTCTTATTTACAATAACATTACATGTACCTGCATTGAAAAATGTACTCAGACATTTAGAACTACTGATTTACTTTTTGTGGCTTCTTATATGTCTTATAGATTTCCAACTTGAAATGTTTTTTCTAGTTGTAACAAACTCCCTCAACCTTTAGTGCACTGAAATGTTCAGAATGTCATTAGTTCTCACCACCCTATCCATCAACTTCCAAGATCTTATAGTAAATTATCCTTACTGTCTGCCATACAATGATGATGATGTTAGTTTGGAGGATAAGGTATTAGATCAACTAATGATCTCCTAAACGATTTTTTTTTATTTTCATCACTTATCTGCTTGATGTTGTATGGATATTATAAGGAGAGATTCTGCCTTGGTCACTCATGGGAGTTTACGGGTTAAGCATGCTCACTTTTTTTCGTATACACGTTGGTATAAACAATAGCATACACACTGGCATACACTCAATGCCAAAAAAGTTGACAATTTAAGAAAGGGTCAAGTATGAACAATACAACCTGATGGCTCTGAAAGCATGTACATATGATCATCATAACTAAGTGCATGTGAGTAATGAAAACTACCCAAGCATTTTTCAGATCTAAAAATTTATGAAATGTAAGGCAGACAGTAAGGATATCAAATATTTAGATTGTGGGAGTAAATTGGGTAACTTGTAGAGTTCTCACCAGCCAGGTATTAAAAATTTAATGGTGTCCAGACTGAAAGAAAAATCTCACTGTATGCATTCTTTTGACAGTGCAGGATATGAGCATATTTGTATTACCAGTGGTAAGGGCATTTAATGATGTTCTTTGAATTCTCTTTCACAGTTGCTGGAATGTTTAATTCAACCTCACCAGTGAATGCATCACAAGGTGGAAACAACAATGCACGCGCAACACAACAAGTAGAGACTGGAGATATTATCACACTTAAACCAAACAAGCAGCGGACAAAGGGCAAAAAGAATAAGATATCTTGCTCTTTGTTGTGACATTTGAATTTCAGGACTGTGCTTTTAATTGCCTTAACAGTTTCACAAAATTAAACAATGCCACAATATGGCAATAAGAGTGGAACTGTTTCTAACACATGTTCAGTTCATACTCAGGGGAACAAGATTTCATGCTTCTCATTAAAGTAATGGATGTGAAGTAAATTTTCACCACAAATTCATGAAAATAGCTAGTTTTGGGACAATTCTAAATTATCATATTTTCTGTTATTGGACAAGTTTGATGTTGTAGTTGCTGCATTTAAATATAACAACACTCAAATGTTGAACCTTTTCTGACTTGTTTCTATACTTTGAGGGATTTTGGGCACTGTATGAGATGACTGGTTTTGATTCAAGATCAAACCATTAGAATCAGGTCATGGAGAAATTTTTATGGAAGGAGTAGGTTGAGGAAATAATCTTGTCCATTCTTTGGAGGTTGACTGGAAATTATGAGGGGGTAATTGAAGCCCCCAATTTGTAGAAGGGGGAACTTAGGTGTTACTTTTTTGGAGAAAGGCATTGTACTTGCTTCTGCAATCCTCTTCAGAACTACCCATGTGTAGCTTGTTTCTAAAAAAAAGTATTTTTCTTCTTTACACTATAATGTGCTTATTGCATGTTGAATGTGACTGTGGTAAGTATGTTGGGGATTCCATTTACATATCAGTTGTTCCACCCAATTACACATACAATTGTGTGAGAATTCTCTTCCCAGTTTGGGTACCACTCATGATGCATTTTTTCAACTTCAGATAAAATGTGGATAAGATGAACTGCTGTAGGATAGCTGGTCTTGACTTTTTCCTTTCTTTTTTCCCACTCTCTCTCCCTTTCTCTCTCCTTCTCTTTCCTCTGCTTCTGTTTGTTTGCTTTTTTGTGTTTTTTCTTTTTTGTTTGCTATCAGAGGGGACGGTCTTGAAAGAAGGGATCCCATTCTTAGGCCAAAGTTATCCAAAGTCCCATTTCTAATTTTTCCCCTTCAGGCCCATCATGAAAAATCAAAAGTAAGTTGAGTTTGTGAGTGAGTTAAGAGTTAACTTAGAATTTATAACAGGGTTATTATTATGGCAAAATTGCATTAATTTTGGTCACTGTCTTTTTAATAACTTTGTAAGTTTTGGTATTCGAATGTTAGTCACTATCTTTTGAAGACAAGATTCAGTTGAGTTAATTGCCATAAGCATGATTTTATCTTTTTCATAATAACAGCAAGGATGCAACATGAATGAATCAGTTTAAATAGAATATTATTTAATCTTCAGCTGGAAAATTTGAACATGTTTTTTAGCATATATTTCAGTGTTGCATTTTCTATTACAATTCACTACAATTTGTTAATCTTATACGCACAAAATATTGAAAAAAGCATCAAATCTCGTTGTTATAGTTATATTCGTGTTTCATATCTCGAGTTAATGTATGAAAAGAAATCAAAGAATAAAGCTGGATCCAGTAGTCCTGGGAAATTAATCATCTATCCCCCTCCATTTTATTATCAGTGTGCATAATCTCCAAACCGTTCTCAATACATTTTCAATGGTACTAGTAAAGGGAAATTCTCTATACTCAAGTGCATCTTAAATTTGCAATCACTCCCCTTATTCTTGAGACCTACATGTAATGTGACCTTGTGATCGATACATTGGTGTCGAAGTGCCCCAGAATTAGTATAATTCGTCTTCCGGTCGCCGTCCACGTCTCAAAGAGTTCTACACTAAAGTTCTCTGATTATTTAAAGGAAGAAATTTTGCTTTTGGATCAGTTTTGGATCTATTAAGAAGGCAATACTTAAGGCCTTCAGATACCCGGTGAGTGCCCCTCGAAATTTTGACACTCGACCTGATAATCTTCGCACTCAGGACCACTCAGGGCTGTTGGACAAGCATTTTTTGAAACACATTAGAAACTATAGGGAGAGACTTCCATAAAGAGATACTGGAATTAATTCCTGGTACTTTCTTCCTCTCGCAGTGCAAAGTAGGAACCGAAATACCGCACACACACACACGAAAAAGAAAATTTAAACAACACCGCAACGCTACAAACCTTCAACTTCTTCATTCATCTCCTTTTCAGAAAGTGAGCAGAGTGACAGTAATTCTTACAAATGAAGCAAAACTTTTTAGTTTGCTTAAGGTGTTTCCCATTTCATCTTCTTTTTCACTTTAAAATTCCCGCGGTGAGCCTACAAGAAGTGCTGCTGGAGGAAGAACAGCAACAACAAGAACGAAAGGCCGGTCAGCGGAATTGTTTGTAAGGACTTGCGCTTCGAACACCTAATTGAGGAGGCTATGCGCATGTCAGCCTCTCTTCGGCTGCCTTCACAAGAAAGTGGTTAGTACAGGATACTCCGTGAAAGATTGCTATATTCTAGCCCTAGTTTTTGACAAATAATAGTTTTACGTATCTTCTATGACTTTTTAACTCTGTAAATCTCAGATTGAGCCACGATTATTCTCCGATGGCTCTTCTTACTCACTCTATTTTCCGTTGGCGTAACTGAGTTGTCATTTTTAGATCAGCTATGCTAACGCAAAAAATAGTCAAGCCGTCAGGAACAGGCGAGCCAAATGAATTGGAGAAAAGCGTATCAGAGGTACTATCTTCACTTTCTCTAACTAAACTTTCACCCTTAAAACTAACGAAGGAAAGGAGCACAATGTTTAGTAGTTTAATTTGTGTATGTCTGCTCACGTGGGAAAAACCTTGTGTTCATTCGTTTCATAGGCTCTTCTCGAGTTAGAACTGAACTCTACCGATCTCAAGTCGCAGCTTCGAGAACTGTACATCTCTGGAGCGAAGGTATGTCAAGTTAAATTTTAGTAACTACTCACTATCACGATTGTGTCTTACCATAAGAACACAGAATTACACTTAAGATGTCTTAAAAATTCTATATTACTTACAGTCTTGAATAATTTTACAGGAAGTCGATGTTGGAGGAAGAAAAGCTATAGTCATTTTCGTACCTGTACCACAAATCAGATCCTTCCAGAAGATCCAGGTAGTTAAACATCATATTTTATATATTGCAACTAAATGTGAGAGTGGTAGCCTTTTGTTTTTGGAAAGAATCAAGTGCTTGTCCCTTATCAGGGAATAAAGGGGGTAAAGGTTAAAAGAAACTCTAGTGCTGCGTCAGTGGGAGAGTATAACAGGGTAATTGGCCACTGTGAAGAGTTTAAAGGCTGACATTTTGTGCCCTAGCCCTTCATCAGAGCAATTGGGAAGAGCTAACACTCTGACAAGGGCTAACACTCAAAACGTCAGCCTCTAAACTCTTTACAGTGGCCAATTTACATTATCAACTCAGTTGACAACATTAAA